GTTGCTTGATTTATAGCAAAAACTTTGACTTTTACACGTTGGTTGCGTTGCGCCTTTTTTAATAGATCTTATATCTTAAAAGAGTATCGGTTGAAAAATAATCCTAGAATACCTAACATATTTTATCATACCGTGCGCTTATTCAATTTGCAATTCAATCGTAAACTCTATCTTGAAAAAATAATTTTACCAGATTTGTTGAATTTTCTAGCGGAAATTGCCTGCTCCCCCCCCTCCGTCCCATTTTCACGATCACCGGGTGTGACTATAGAAGTGGAAATTTTGCCGACCAGATTGCCTTTAAATTAGTAGTTACGATATATTTGCTCTAATACAGTAATTCCCTGTCATGAATTTCTAAAAAATGTTCCATTAGAAGACCGTTCCAATAAACCTTGACACATTTTGATAAGCTGGATTGATGATGCCATAGGTTTAAGGTATAAATTGGTCAAGGTAAAAATATGCCAACGTTTTGCTTATTTTGAAAAGGTACAACTTAATAACATTATAAATCTAGCCAATACACTGTATATCATAGCTTTCTTGATATACCAAAAGGTGGAAGAGTTTATCGGAAAGTTATTTTCTAACTGTTTATTCTACATTTACATTTTGGTATATACGTTGGATTGATGATGTCATGTGTTGTAGGTAAAAATTGATCCAGGTAAAAATATGCTAACTTTTTGCTGGTTTTTAAAAGGTACAACCAATGACATAACCAATTACAATATATTATAGCTTTCTGGATATACCAAAAGATGGCAGGTTTTTGGAAAGTTATTTTCTGACTTTATTTCTGGATAAGAAAATATGATTATTCTATATGTTACATCTTCAATGATTGTATAATTATCTAATCAAGTATCTTAATTACGTTTTTAATGAAAATAGCATTGCAAATGAAACATTGGAACATTGGTATACTTTTGTAGAAGGTGGCTTATCGTTTTATATTCTCTATCCTGAAAATATTCAATAAATAGTGCGAGATTGTGTTATTTGGAGGATAGGTTGTAAATATATGTGTTTTACAAAATGATGTGTTATTTGCCTAGTTCTAGAGTATTGTGTATGTTTGTAATATAAATATGAATATCAAATATGTTAGTAACTGCAAATATTAAATATAAAAAGTGAAATGGGATACACCGAATACTAACAGTAGTTTGTTTAATAAATGTGCTTTTACAATACAGACGAGGTGATTTCTTTGAATTTTACAATTATTTTCATTTTCATTTGAATCATTTCCGTGAAATATTTATTAAGGATTGAAAGTATGATTTGCTTTTGGGAGGGCTCCCCCAGAATGGCCATTGAAATTTTGTGTCTCTCAATCAAACAAAATATATTATCATCTATTGTATTACATGTCCTCTATACTCTTCCGATCGCATCCTCTGTTCATATCGCACCGAGTTGGATTTTATATCGATATACATACCAGTTCGGTGTGCCCTTGTAAGGTAAGATACCAATCTCCTTGGAGCATTTCGTTCAGAGCAATCATGCTTTAATCGTTCACACATGAGTGAACCGAACGAATTGCTAGGGAATATGGCGACATGCCACTGAACGTTCGGAGATTGATTATAAATAGGGTGATGAAAATGACTCTCCTACTACAACGTTGCCGATTAATTTAGACGCGTAAGCATAGATTTAGGTGAATAAACATGATATTTGTCTGATTGATGTAGTGTACCTGAAGATCGGACATGCAATTCTGCATGCAGCAACTACTACTGTATTGTAGGGCAATAGACTAAACTGCCATCTTTAAGTCCCGTCAGTCTCGTATTAGGACCTATGTAAACTACACTTTGATACTTGTAATCGGTTTCGGGTTTTATAGATGTCACTAATGCACGATGAATAAAAAATGTTTTCCATTCCTGTGTTGAAGAGAGTTTAATTGTCTCAGAAGGATTGTTGTCCTACAATCAGTGGAAGTGAAAATGTTAGAATATCATACTTCAATGGATTTCGATATTGGATTTTTTCCGTCCCACATCATTTGAGAATAAACGTCCTATTATATGTATACTAGTATTTACAACTATTTTTGATGTTGTCAGTATTGGTTTATCTGTTTACATTATTCTTTAACAAATATTGTAATGGCTTCTGTGTGAATGAAATGTGCATTATTGTTATGGTCATGGATAGCCATTTTGCTAATTAACACTCATAATTTCGATAGGCCACATTATTTAGGTTAAGTTTAAGTAAACAAAAACAATGGAAAAACTCCAAGTGAAAATTGGCATTCGAAGCAGGAAAGTATTAAATCTTTGGCAAGTTCTATCAAACGTTTTGTGTTTCAAATGGAATAAAGCAACACAAGTCAAAGGTTTGACTACATAATAAATTACAAAACTATATTTATGTGTGAAAGTAGCGATTTTTGAACTAAGAAGAATGAACTCCTTCGTAGTATCATTTTACATACAGACATGATTTACAATAATTTGATTTTAACATAGCTACGCAAGTATAAGGACTTTCTGATATTTCAGATGAGGCTAAAGCGAAGTATTGCTGCACTTACCCATAGTTTTTTTCTCAGGTTTTCATAACAAACTCCATTCATCAAATTATTTATTAAAATATTGATGTTTCGCATCATGCGTTAATCCCATCATATAGCGTTTGGTTCAGTGCAATCGTGAATCTTTGCCTTGTTGGGAACGCACTGAACGAACTGCTACTGCGACGGAGATTTACATTAACATGCGTTATCTTAAGGATGTTCCCTGGTCAGATAGGAAAATATTCAATAGTATTTAACTTTTTCTCAAAAATGGTTTTCTGGGATTCTCACGGGCAACAAAGAATATTAAAACTTTAAAAACCATATGTTAGTGTGCTTTTTTCTGAGCAAGAGGCCTCTAAAGTGTCAATATTTGACAAAAGTGGGCGTGGCACTTTCTCATTGAAACCCATGTTAAAAATCAGGTTTTCACCCCAAAACACACTTTTGAATATTTAACTTTTTCTTAAACTCACAGAAACACTTAGTTATGCTATGTACTTCACATTTTGAAAAGAAAAATTAGGGGTTGGTGTTCATCGTTTTCAACTTCGTCCAGGGAACATCCTTAATCATTTTAATTACCGGGCACATGTTTAACTGCGTATACATTTAACTCAGATGTATAATCCATAATTATTGTGCTCAGCTCATTTGATAATTGGACGATTAATAATGAGAATACATCCATAGTTCGGCAAGCACGATTAGCTAAATCTAATTTTAAAAAACTTGTCTAGTTTAAATATTATACAAAAAACAAAGATCAAAGAAAACTTCAAAGCTAAATTTTTCAATGGCGTAGTTGCAGGGGTTAATTTGTAATGGGATTTGTTCTTACTTACTGCGTAAAATATACATTTGAATCACCACTTGCTGGCAAATGGTCACTTATTGTATAAAAGTACATATTGGTATAACACATACGCGCTTGCACACCTGCACTAACCCAAAAAAGTTTGGGAACCACCACCCATTTGATAACGCTGGGAATCCCATTTTTGTGTAAGGCGATTTAAAAACGGTTATCAAATTTTCACGTTGGTGAAAGTTCAAAGGAAAATTTAAAGGCAGAATCAGATCTATGGGGGTGGCAAAATGTACAATTGACCTACCAATCTATTCCTTACTATCTCAAATACAATATCTCCTAAAAGATTCACAATCTGGCATAAATTGGTGAAATTATGATGGACTTAAAGTGCAAAAATGGGTGAAAATGTTTAAATTCTCCCAAATAATAAGAATGGTAACCATTCTTATAGAAAAATAATACATTATTGTAAAAATCTTTAATTTTCCTAAATAAAGTGTGCACTTTTGGGACGTTTAGAAAATAGACATGACAAGGAATGACATGAGCCAGGAATATTCTAAAATTGAAGCAATCTTTTTGTTAGGCTGCTCACTAGATCCAATTCTCTCTTTAAACAGATGCCAAGTTGTTTTAGTGTTCTATTAACAGGAAATCGTAGTTACCAAACGTTTATAGGATTGTCACATAACTTTCTCTAATCATGTAAGTGATCAAAAACAGATTTATGCAATTCCAATTTTCTTTCAGGTCACTATCATTTCAAGAAATGCCCATTTGCTGATATATCTTATTATCCTATGCCAAGTAGAGTTTTAGGGAGATAAATTGGTAAGATATATCCCGTATCCTGATTTTGAGGTTTCCATATCCAGAACCTCCATATCTCCCGCCATATCTCCCGCTTCGGTCCATATCTCCCCGCTTCGGTGCATATCTTCCCGCTTCCGGTAAGTAATGGAAATGCAATACAATGACTTTGCATATGAATGATTTGTTTATTTTTACTATTGAAATGGCCATATGTCCCTGAAAACTCTACTTGGTATAGGATGAAGCAGTTATGTACGGTCGGTTTGGATATTGGGTTCATCCCTCGTGAGATATGCACATCTACCTTCGGTCCCTACGGTCCCTCAGGTAGATATGCATATCTCCCTCTTGATAAACACCATACTCCCAGTACATAACCCTTATATATCCACACAAATGAGCAGCGGTGTATATTCTCCCAAATAAAGAACAGATCTTAATTTTTTCTTTTCTGGCAATCGATGATTTGAACCCTAAGTGTAAAAAGGTCAAGATTTACACGTAAAAAATTGTTTCTTGCACCGAAATGAATTTTCGTACGTCTCAAATCTGAATAACATATTGTACATTTACACAGGTTCGCGTTTATTTTGACAAAGCTTGCATATAAAATAAGCATTGGATAAACAATCCTTCTTCGAATCGGGATATGTGTATTATTCACCGGCAAATATATAAAAGGAGAATAACTATATTCCACCGCGAATAATCCAAATATCCCCCGGTGCTATATATGGTTTATCTACATGTATGTTTACGTACCATCATATATCTATGCATGTTTTGATAGATGAACATTTATATAATACTGCTGAATATCATATACATATAAACCACGGGGATAAGGTGGACCCGATGATACCGTGAGCATTTGAGGATCCACATTGAGCTGAAAAATCCGCCGAGCTCGCTAAACACATTAAGCCCCGGTGGCATAGCCGTGACACAGCCGAGCAAGATCTTGGTATCATTGTGTCTGCTTTACCCCCGTGTATATATATTATTTTAATAATAATATTGAAGATTCCACTTTCAAGCAATGTTACAGCTGTTTGACCACTACTATTATAGTATTCAAATGGTTCATATTTTGTTCACAATTGTACATTGTCAGTCAATGCATCTATCTTAAAAACCGGCTATTCCTTCGCCCTAATCGAACGTTACAAAATATCGCAAATGACTAGCGACTGACTTAGATCCCACTCGTATATTTGACAAAGGTCAAGGTCATTGAAGATGGAACGCCGTTGCATCACAATTCACGTCCCATCCGAACGCCAACAGTGTTCGTTGTTCGAGCGTAACCGCCGTGTGGCCACAGCAAAGTTTTGTGCTTAATTTGCCAACCTTTTTCTCGTGTCGGCACGATTCAACCTTCGCAAAGGCTGACACTGTGACACCACCCCTCGGAGTCACTTGTCCATATCTTGAACAAAAGTTGTAGCCAATAGTTTTGCTACTCTCAAGGTCGGTGTCTCTTAAGTCCTTATAGAGAAAGCTTTCTTTGAATGTACGTCGGCATTGCTCCCGACATCTCACTTGAATTGTATGGCATCTTGAAGTTGCGATTGTGTATTGCGCGTATTGATAAAGGACTTGACGATCTACCTTGATTTCACAGCTACACCTGAAAGTATATTTCGCATAAGTCAATATAACTTTGAATAGCAATTTAATATTACACATTTGGATAAACGATTTGATGATTTATCTTCGGCTTCACAGCGATATCTGGAAATAATTGAGTTTTAACTTGCGAATGTGTACTGCGCGGGTTAGAAAAGGACTTGATAATCTATTTTTACTTCACAACTATATCTGAATATAATTTTGAACTTGTGGTTATTTTGCATTGCGCTTGTTGGAATCAATATTGGCACCCTAACCATATCTAGAGTTTTTTTTCAAAATAATTAATTATGGCATATTTACATGTAGCTTGCAATTTGAAAAGGACTTGAAAAAATAAGTAATAAGTAAATTAATTAGTTATGAAGATGTAATAAGATATTGTACAGTTTACAGTACAACCATGAAACTCATTCACAAGGTCTCGGTTGCTTTAACTTTATGTGTTAATTGTTAAAGCCACCTTGGGATTCGAAGATGCATGAAACTAGGACAATGATGACTGGCATTATAAAACCCCTATGGTCTGACACAGTGTTAACACTGGTGGTTTTCCTGAAATATCGAATTTCGATTACCCGATTGGCACAGTTGAAAAATTCTGAATCTCTTTTGCGTGGGAATTATTAATTAGCTAATTATATGTCTTCATATTGTGCCAAATTAGTATTGATTTCAGTACGCTATTATCGCCCTATTATCGCCCACGTAGTATTTGAAGAGACACGCGAATTGATTACATCATTGTCTGATTACCTATAGAGAAAAAATAATATTCAATAGAACGATCCAAGAAAAATGACAGCTCTTCCGCTTGGTGTAAGCTTTGCCAAATGAACTCCGCTTCATTTGTCAAGTGGCGCCGAGTTTTGTGCAATGGGTTTCCTGTTGTACTACGCAACAGTTGCTTCCGCAACTCAACAGCCTTATTGATAACGAAGTTTAGACTGAGCTAATAGTGTCGATTTCTTGATTTCTAATTCTAACATAATTAACGTTATGAAAGGTAACACTTTAAGGTGTTTTTATCACAACAAAAAACAATAAAAATCTATATTATTTTATTGTTTAATATCTAGATCAATAAACCGGTGTTTTCAGCTATTGAGAAAATGAGTTTTTCTTCATTCGATGTGTTAAATTCATTTAATAAGCAGTAAAGTGGTTCTCGAAAAACAAGATGGCCAAGAACATTCAACAAAATTAAAAAAAATAATTCACTCAAAATGTATAATATTTTTACAAATAAAAAAATATCGATTATTCGCAAATAAACGATAAATGCAAGAAGGCCTCTGTGTGTCTAGAACAACAAACATTATAAAATAATGCAAAACTCTTATAATGATCAACCCCCTACATGCGTTTAAACTTAAGACTTGAATTACAATAGTATTAAGTAAAAAAATATGTTGTTTTCAATTTCCTGTCATTACATGTAACTTAAAACTTGTTTTGAAGGTTATTTCTATACTTAGAAAGCGAATCTCTTTTATTTTAGGGTCATTTATGTATTACCTTAGTCAGACTTAACCGATTTCTGTCAGAATTTAGAGGATTTTGAACATACGTCAATTGATAATCCGGCGATTAATATGTATTATTTCTTTATTTTCTTAAGTTATTATAATGCTATTATAGGTACACATGTCGTTTGATTTCCTAGATTCTAACCTTGTGGGTAGAGATGAGGTTGGAAAGAGGAGGTAGGGTTGGTTATTTAAATGATCGAATTCATTTTTGATTCCATGATAATGATATCCCCACTCCACTAAGAATATATTGCATTATAAGAATTTCAAAAATAGAAATAACACTCTTCATCAAACACTGATCAATATTATATCCGAGGTGGAGGTTATTCTGCCATTCCAAATAAATGAAATAAACCTCCAGAATATTGAATGACTCTAGTGTAATATTTGCAGATAAGAAACATTATATGTTATCTATTGAAGATAAAATGTCTAGAAAGATTTATTTATTAGTCCATTTTTTCAAAATCTAATTTTCATCAAGAATTTGGAACGTCTTAAACTTCACTCGAGACGTAAGCTGTATAAAATCACAGGGGACGTTATAGGATTTGCCAAAAAGTATCCACATTTTCAATGAGCATTAAACGGTACACGTTTAAGTCGCACGTGCTCAGTCCGATATACATGTACTAACTTATAAAAACTTATCTGGTACTTCTTTAGATTGTAGGTGATATTTGGTTCCAAAGAAATGCCAAGAAATACATCTACTAACTTCGACAAACCGTGTTTATGTTTTGTAAAGCATGGAGTAGCACATATTATCGAGGCCATTGAAAGATTTAATCATAATTTGTGCGGGATACTAAGGATTAAGGATTAGCTCATTTGCAACTAAGTATTATTGTTTACAAGTGCATAGGGTTCAAATAGCTTAATTTTACCACATCCAAATGTACCGATTCGTAAATGAAATATGGTGACGGTATTTTGAGTTTAGTTGAGTAGATTTACGATTGGCATCAAAGTAAATATAATTTGTTTAATTGAATATATAGTCTGGATGACCATACCTTCTTGCATTAACTTTGTGGTCCGTTGGGTTCCTTGGACATAGTCGCATCAGGGCAATATGCTCTATTTCTAGAAAATGTAACCCCGGACCATGTACATGTCCACTAACGGGAAATAATAATTATTACATCGAATTAATCGTTGGGGTTCCTATATATTAAGAAGATGACACAAGACGGATTTTAAGTCATTTACCTGACACCAAAATTTAGGACAATATTAATTATCAATAAATAGAAGTAATGTGTTTTCCAAAAATTGTCTAATCGGAGATACATGTACCTTCGGTTCGCTGGGAGTGTAGCTGGCATGAAGCAGGCAATTGCCTCCCAAAATTGTACAAGAAAATATGAAGTCAAACTATGAACATTTCATGACCCAAATTATGAGATTTATGTTATAAGCGTGAGTCTATGAACCTGTGTCATATCATATGCATTCGTTCGACTTTGCTTCAAAAAAGAGAGCCTTGCCTTCAGTTTATAACTGCACGCAGGGTAACAGTTCCAGCAAACCTTTTCAACAAATTGACCATATAATACAAACAAGTCACTATAAAGATTATGTAAGCTTTGCTTGTGGTAGCTATAGATTACGTGTATGCATCACATCAATAATTGTGTCACCATGGTAACTTTTGCTAATGTCATTATTAACTTACAAATGAATTCTTCATAAACAATTTTAATTAACTACAGGACACGGTTCTACTTTTACTTATAGAAAAGAAATTTTCTTATAAGCTGCCAGTCTTGAAAATATAAAAGTAAGTGGATGTGTTTACAGGAAGTTCGACTTTGTGTGATAATGTTTCTTGTTCCGCAGTTCCGCACAAGTTGGACTTTATACTTACAAAACTATATTTATTTTGTTACAACAGGCGTCTATAATTGAATTAGACTATTTTTCACTTTGTTAGATAAATAAATATCAAAACTACATTTGTGCCAACATAAAATTGAACTGCTTTTTCGGATTAGAAGTCGTATAGATGAATAGGTAAAACAATAAATATATGATAAATAAATATATGCAATGGTTATTAATATGAGCAACATTTAAGTAAAGCAAATAAACACGGACACCTTTAGAGCACAAAAAATGCAAATACAATGATCAATTAGAGGTCTCCTGATTTGTACAACTTAACATGGTTGAATAATAGTGGTGTTACCTTCACATGAGTATTTAAAAGTAACTTGTATATGTTGTAAAACAAACATGTAATAGAACGGATGTGACTTTTTGGAATAAAAAATAACTCGTGGTTGATCCATGGGCCATATTTCCAATTATATTTGTAGTCAATCCTAAATCAACTACGTTATTTTGTCTGATATTTAACGTCCACTCTAATCGTATCAAATACATTAGTGTAATCACCGGACAAAATCAATATTTGCAATTTGGATGATTTGTCGAATAAAACGCTATTACTTCATATGATTAGGCCATGTTTAACTTATTTTTAGACATAAAGTATATTTAAGTATAATTGTTTTATTTGGCAGAAAGGCGAACCTTAATTGAACTATTTGAACTACTGTTTAAAAGAGCATGTATTGTTTTAATAGTGTAACTATTTGGAGATGCTAATATGTATACATTTTGGATAACATCTCCGTTGAAGGGATTTTATGATTTTTCTGATAAAGTGTAATTTGCGGGGGTACCTTGGTCCACTGCAATCGTTGCAAAACTATTTTATATATGATTATTTGAGTGATTATTCTAGGCTTTTCACGCAGTGCTGGGAATGGATTTATTTGTTTTTATCTTGGTTCAAATTTACAGTATTTGAGCTTTTTATACTTCACAAAAATAATATAAACTTTATAGCCATACATTTAGTATATTTAGAAAATATTCCCTTTTCTATAAGTACACACCAAAGTGGCATAAGGTTTGAGATGTTGTCATGTTATGTTAATTCATGAGACGGTAACGTGTACTGTTATGGTGCTTGTATACACAGTAGAAAACAATATGAAGCACTATAAGTTAATTTACTCCTTTAACGAGCCATTTACCCTTGCAAGTAACCTCAAAAATTATTATTGACGTATCATTAATAAGACTGGGATTAAAAGCAAAGGGGGCATTGCGTACGATACTATGGTTTACAAAGTGCGTTACTAGAATTCAATCCTTTTATTCAAATGCATGCAACCCTTATAATTAGATGCACGCATCCCTTATAGATAGACTCGTCCCCTTAAAAGTACATGCATGCGTGCACTCTTTTCAAATAGATGCATGTATCCTTTATGGTAATATCTACCCATTATGATTAAATGCATGCACTCCTTCCAATCAAATGTATGTACCTTTCGTAGCCCTTATAATTAGATGCATGTACCCATTATAACTATATGCATGTACCCATTATAATTAAATGCATGCACTCCTTATTATCAAAAGCCTTTTTAGCACTTTCATGAGACAAATTTTAATTGTACTAAAGTCTTTAATATTGTAAATTGAAAGCGGTTACGAATTACAAGTACATTAGACAAAGCCCTTTCAGATTTATTTAAGACCGAACAAGTCGCACCGCCCTAACTGTAAACAATGCCCTTTTAATAAAGTGGCACATCTTGAATACCAAGAACTTTCGATTTGCCTTAACAAGACTTGCATAGAGAACCGTTAGTATGTCAGTGTGTTACATTAAAGTACATTCAGGCTAGATGAATTGATAACATCAAAATTGTAAACATAAAATATAATACTACTACTTTAAATGAAGAGAAATCAATTAAAATTAAATACATGTTCATAGTAAAACATTTGTAGTCAAGACATATAGTTGATAATTAAGCAATATATTCAACAGTCAACAAGATGATGAGAATCAACAGTCAAGATGATAAAAATCAACAATAAATACAATCAACACTCAATAAATACAATCAACACTCAATAAGTACAATAAACACTCAATGAATACAATCAACTTTCAATAATACAATAAACACTCAATAATACAATCAACACTCAATAAGTACAATAAACACTCAATAAAACAATCAACGTTCAATAAATACAATCAAAAGTCAAGACATACATCAAAAGTCAATAAAAAATCAACATTTAATCGATATATTCAACAGTCTATCAATAAAATCAACGATCGACCAAATAAGTTTAAGTCATGTCATCGAAACAATAGTCAGTCAATAGAATGGATAGTCAAGAGCAAACAGTCAAGTAATAGAATCAACAGTCAAGAATGGACAGTCAATCAAATGAGTCGACAGTAAATTAATAAAACAGCAATCGATCGTAAAAAGCAACAGTCAATTAACAGAAGCAATACTCAATCAATAGAATAAAAATTCAATCGATTTATCCATTAATATTATGCCATATCAATAACTAAGTTCACGACATTCCGAGTTTACAGTGACTCGATAATATCAAAATATTTCATTCTCTTTTTATGAAAAAGTCAAACAATTTTACACCTAATATTAAATCCGGATTCTATGTTTTAGGTTATAATATTATCGATGATAATTTTGTTAATGTGGATAGCCTTTTTAAATTCTTTATTCATGAAAACCACAATGCTATATTGATGTTGTCGAAATCCGCATTGTGTTTAAAATGATTCTTCTTTGTATAAAACTAACCACTGAAAATGACAAAACAATACAGAAAACAATGCTTCAGAAAATTACTTTAACTTATCTTGAGGGTTTGTTGCACATTTAATAAATAAGAAATAATGGAATATTGTGACAAGACTCTGAACATACTACACTCCATTTATATGCAAGTATACAAAATGTCTTACGTTGTAGTTGCTCCCTGTCCCTCGATTGGTTGGATTTGGAGGGGGTCGACTACACCCCAGGATGGATTATTCTGCCCTGTTAATGACCCGGCAGGCATTAATCTTTGCCCTTCGGCGATCCCTAGTAGTAAGAATAAAAGCATCGCGATTTCCATCATGTCTCTTGATCCGACTTATAACAGCAACTAATAGATATAATCAGTTATATGCCAAACTGGGTCTTTATATTTAATCAGCCTTTTATATAGTATCAGTCAATCAGTCTTTATTGACAATCAGTCCCCTGTGTCTTTTCAGTTGGCGCAATTTTTCGGATGGAAATGTCCTCAAGGGCGGCGTACAAGAATTATGATCAGTGTACCGCCTGAGTCGGGAATATCGATTTTCTTATATACTCCGCTATTTGATCGGAACAGTCACAATCGACCTAATTAGATTAAAAGTCTCCCGTCAGTTGTTTTTCAAAGTCGACCTTAGCTTCTTAACAATCGTATAGGGTTAGGTTGAAATGTCTCGGAGACTTCCACCGAATGAACTCAGCCCGTTCTAAATACGGTTAGTGTGTCTCTAGCTTGTTATAAAGAATAATGGCGAACGGTGGAGTAATTTGAGTCTTAACTGTTACTCACCCGGACTTATCTCCCTTATCTAATCAACAAATTGAAAATCGCAATTAATTTTATTTCTATCGAAGTTCGTCTGAAATCAATATTTATTTCCTCAAAATCCAATCCAATTCCTGTCTGCATGTAACGTCCCTAATGTGTTAGAAATCGAATTGAACTGAATTCACAAAAATTGGAGTCAAGACAAATGACGCGATGGTGCGACTTCCTCTGAAGTTTTGATTTATTTGTGTCGTTTGTTTAGGCGTAAGAGGAAGTCTAGTCCCAGGGGTTTATACTTTCATAGGAAACCCTGGAACTCGGTCGCTGGCTGCTTACGTTTCCTGCCAAGTTTTCTCACGTCTCGCTAGGCGACAATAAAGCGGGTGATTTGGAAACAATTGAAGTTGTATCTTTCCAGCTGCTTTGTTGGTTTTTCTGTCATATTACGCAGCGCGATGTTGGTGGAGTCAAGTCATCCGCGTTGTCTTAAAGAAAGCAACTTGTTATTATAAACTATAACCTGTCTTTATTCGAGACGCTGTTTTCCCTTTAATTTCACTTCCTGGCCAGTTTACACAATATGTTTTATCTTTGATTTTTTCGAACAAGGTTGCCAAAAAGTGAAGTTGTATAAGTCACAGTGCCATATACCATGGATATATAATATCAAATTAAAATGTACGCAATGATTTATGAGTTTAATTTATGAGTGCATTTATCTTGATGTCGTGGCTCAATTGCACAATATGGATTGGGGGATTCTTTTAATAATGCAATTGAAGTACGTACGCGGAGTTAACGAGAGATTCGGCGCATTTAATCGATCTGTGACCTATCCTACGTACAGCCTACCCTCATGTATTTCACTGTAAATTAAACTGTCCATGCTTTAAGAAGTTCCCTCACACCAAAATAAGAAGGGGATACCCAAAAATATTTACACAGATATAAATTCAACTATGAATTTTTCGGAATTGTTTATTGGGTAAAATAAATAATTGGAGTGCATGAAGGTCACTTAGTAGCGTTCGTAGTTTTAGTGTATCTGGTATCACCCGGGAAAAAGTAAACCTTCGAACTGCACTAATTCATGCGGTACTATAAGTTTCTCACAATTACATTGAATTCACTTTATCATATCTTTTTTGGAAGTATCGAGGCCATTATATAATGATCGTAAATCATGTATATTGCTCAGTCCAAAGGTGGAAAAGTCGGTGTTCGTCCAGATACTGATCATCGGTCAGTCGTGACGTTGATTCTCAAGTACTTGTTGCACATCATGGAAAATGACGACGGTGTTAATTATTGCTCAATTTATTGTTGATAGATTAAACAGTCCATGAATATATATAGAAAACGACGATGTTCGACTTCAGTTTTCAATTTCCAGCATCGGCTCATTTTAATTTCGGAGAAAGCATATCAAGTACTAGCCCCGGGGTATAAGCTTTTAAAAACCATTAGTGGTGACGTGGAATGTCACGTTCATTCTCTTACTCAGCAAATTAATCGTAAGATACATTTTTATTTCGTTGTTATTGTACTGTACTTATATCACATCATGCGTGGGCGTAGCTAGCCACTAAGTCGATAATACACACGCGCGGAAAATCTTTCTTTTCACTTTTATTACAATAAATTACATGCATTGTATAATTCTGAAAAAATCGAAACAGTGTTTTTCACATTTGTATGACCTTTCTTCAATAATGTATAAATGACTACATAAAAAGTGTAACATTTTGTCCCCATTTTACTAATTATTGGTGATTATGATAATCACAAAAATTAGTTAAAATTCCCAGGCCTTCAACTGAAATATACTCAGTGCTCACTTCTCATATGTAACTAGGGTCCCCCTTTGGTTAACATTAAAATGTGAAGATAATAAGGCCTGTCTTACGTAATAGAACGAACAAAACAAAATTTTCAGTAGATAAAAACAATATTAACCTAAATCCCAACACGAAGCCAGTTTTGTTGCCCAACAAGATCAAACCAAGCTCAGCTGTTCAGTGTGTTTCGTATCCTTAAACTCTCAAACAATACGTAGGTTAATTAGTTGTACACGTTTTTAAGAGAACCTTTACGCAAGTGTGTAATATTTTGACCCCCGGGTTGTACTGTCCCGCTCTCAGTTCACTCTCTCAGGGACCCACTTACAATTATTTTTCGTATACATTTATATACTCAATCGGCCAAGTAAACACTACAATCGGGAGAACTAATCCACAGACTAGACTATAATTCTACACGTTCACGTAAATGTTTTCTTTTTAAAAAAGCGTAACTGTAGGAACTTAACATCCTTATTACACGTGATTATCGGTCACGCTCGCGTGTTGATCACGGTTTAATTATTGGCAAATGTAATGTTATTATAATATTTAATTTTAATATTTATTCAACTATTGCCAAACTATACATTTGTTTCTGTTATTTTTCTTGGATAGATTACAAGCCAACTTAGGTTCGTTGATCGAAAGCGCCGTATAACCTCGTGTGAAATGGATAAGTCCTGGATAATCAACTCTTCGTTTTGCAGAGTCGTTTTGAACGGTTGAATTTATGGAGGTCAGTGTTACCAGATATATAGTCATACTAGTGTTACCTAGGAATTAGAGAATAAATCGATCTACGTTGACGGCGGATGAAAAATTATTTTCATGATTTCGATCATTCAGAAGACATGAACATCCGTCCGTTATTTTACCATTGCTATTTTATCAATTTGAACGAGATGAACGTACATATTTAAAAGACGAACAAACCCGTAAAACTACATCAGTTTATAATCTGATTTACATTGTTATATTAGATCACTGACGACCAACGCTTGACCAAAAATAGGTCGGAATATTCGATGATTATATCAGGTCACTATCGTGGTAGCCAGTAGAGACTGCTGAATATAAAACAACATAAGGTAAAAGTTCACAAGGTGTAAAGAAAGACTGGGCTCTGTAGGTTTGTACTGTATAGATGATTAATTGAGACGTTTAAGCAATAAAATCGATACGTCAACCTGTAAGCGCTTGTTTTGTATGCGCGTTATATACATTGCTGTGTTGATTCATTGACGTTACGTTCACGGGTACGTTGTGAAAAATGTCGCTTGCTATTTAGAAATGGGGCGAATGGTCAGACGGAACGTGTAATTCATTTTCGGTAGTAATTTACCCTCACGGCGTCAAAACTGAATACAGACGCTCAATTGACAAACTGAGAAAGAACAGGCCGCTGTTTTCGCAGCTTATAACGAGGTTGTCTATTTTCATGAATCCGTTTAATGGCATCCGCTAAATGAAATCTAGTCTAGTGCACACCAGGAAATGCTCAAATTACTGTAAAAGCATCCAAAAGAATTCCGGACCAACAGTCGCATCGTACCTGGACCTGCGATGGTCACGGTGACGAATTAGTTCACTTTTATAGTAGCCCGTCCTGTTCCCTACTTCTCGCGCTCGCTCGGCTCACACGCGATTCGCCCGTCTGGCTCACAGTTATTATAAAACGCCACCCCCAACACAGAATCCTGGATCCGTCCCTGGTAGTAACCAAGATGACTCTCTGATCTGAACTACCGCTTTCCATTCAGTGATAATGTCGAACTGCCATCTTTTTTAGTCCCTAATTGAGCGTTCGCAATTTTATTACTTTAGTCGTAAAATCCCAGCGATCGCAATTTTATTGCATTAGAAAATAAAAAAAGATGAAAATTGGTCGACTGAAAGAAGTAAGTTGTTTTGCAATAGTGGGGACTCATGTGTAGTTTAGAAGATTGAAATGTGAAGATGTATAATCCAGTTATAATAAGTAAGACTTAAAATGACGTCCTTTGTTTTGATTTGTTCCAAAACTGAGACATAAAATCTTTTATTTTTTCGTGGGTGATAATAGAGCTTGTTTGAAATTTTCATTTCTTCATTATAGTTATACGAATGCATTCTGTCTTGTATTTACTATATTTTAGGCCTTATCGTTGCTGAAGACTAGGCAGAAAAGTGTGGCAGAGTTGTATGCCGAATGTTTGTCACGAGCTAAACACTATGAAATCCTAAACTTTCTTACAACTGCCACATTTGATGACTTTGAGGGTCAAAGGGAAAATTCAGAGAAGCTGTTCAAATCAGGTATGATATGATCAAGTAAAGCAAAGACATTGGTAATTATATAACTCACTCTAGTCTATATCCAATAGACCGAATTTCTTGAGAATTCAGTCTATTGATCATCATGTCCCTCCTGTCTTGAAATTTTGACAAAATTATCGATTTTAGGAAGATTCACTTCACAAAAATAGTTAAGTAGTAGGGTACAATTAATGCTATAAAAAGTAGCCCAGCATGTTGTTAAATGGAAATAAAGCTTCATGTAGGGGAAGTAACAAATATGCAAATTAATTTACTCCACTGGCCGGCACTTCCTATGTAAACAAATCTTTTTCAATCCCAAATTTTAACATATGTGGGCTATAGTCTGGATATTTTCATTCCAAATTTAAAAAAAAATTCAGACTAGAGGATATAGTCTACAGCTCACTCCTAGTTTTCTGTAAGTTGAATTGCTGAATTCTGGATTGTAAAATTAGTAGCATCTATAATGGAATAATACAGATTTATGAAAAGGAAGTCACTGGCCACAAGGTCAGTTATTGGCAGTCGTTGTTCTGAATGGATACAATATAAAAGAAAGAAAATAAAACTAAAATGCAATGACAACAGACACGTTATTTTAGAAAATACACGTAGTATGTAATGCCAATCTGATTAATGCCCTGCAATCACTTACCTCATATAAACCAATTACTGAACTTTACTTGTTCTAACTTCATACTTACTTAGCAGATAATACAAATATACAATCATAATACCAAACAAAATTCGTATTGATGACAACGAGGCATGTTTCAGCAAAACATGTAACCCCGCCTGCCTCCCAAATTCACTCGGCAAAACTGACAGTTTTACCTTACTCCTTATGTTTTACAAATAGGCGATCATGTTAGGACTCTCGAGGGCATTCCAGTTGCTGTTAAAGACAACTTCTGCACAACAGGGGTTAAAACATCATGTTCCTCACACATGCTCAACAATTTCTATCCTCCCTACAATGCAACTGTTGTACAGAAATTCATTGACAATGGTGCATATGTGATGGGCAAAACTAATATGGACGAGTTTGCAATGGGGTAAGTGAACAATTTGGAATGCGTGTAATTTTGGTCAAATGTCAACAGTTAAAAAATAAAACTATTTAGATGAAAAAATTGAAAATGTACAAGCAGATTTGTGATTCACTCAATTTGACTTTACAGAAATAAAAATACACGGTACATTGTATATTTGTGTCAAGGAAAGCAAGCTTATCCTGTATTTTTCATTATTATGCACCTCATTAAAATACTCGAATCTGATTCAGTGTTCTCCCCAAAAAAAATTTTCAACTGGGTGCAAGATTTCAAGTCTGAAAAAATCAGCACTCGCTACGCTCACAATATCTCAGTGTAGGTGCTTACTTCACTCATTTTTCAAATCAGAAGTTGAAGTGCAGATTCCAACTGGGTGCCAACTGGGGGGCCTTTGGTTTCAAGTAGGGGGAGCCCCCGGTAAAAGTGACATGGGGAGATCACTGTGATTGGTTAAGAGCTGCAGGGTCTATTGCTATATGTGGCAGTAAGATTTCGTTCTATCCAGTATTGAAGCAACCATCCTGTACGCCAGAATACCTCTATCCTCGAAAAAGAATACTAGGCTCTTCTTGGGAAACAAATCCAGAGAGTATTTTTTTCCTGGGATAGGTATTCTGGCATATCCACCTCATGGTCACCCAGTATTTGTTTATTACAGCTCTGGGACTGTGGACAGTATACATGGACCAGTCCGCAATCCATGGACATTTAATCTCCCAGATGTTAGTGACATCACAGAAATAAAGGAATCTGATTGGTTAATAGCTGGAGGTAGCTCAGGGGGAAGTGCAGTTGCTGTAGCAACTGGATCCTGTTACGCGTAAGTTGATATTTCTAATTTTATTGACATCATTGTCGAATGTAACATGCATGATGCTAAATTGATTTACTATGAATTTCTTTAATTTTGCAATTTAAATCATCAATTGAAGATTACCATTAATTGCCAATTTAGAACGTCCTCCCTTATTGTATTTAAAGATGTTTTGACAACCATCCATCATTTGGAAAAAAAGTCACCAATATTCATCTTCTAAAAATATGAACCAAAACAACTAAAGAATGCAAAGTTGACTATTTTGTAGAGCTGGCATCTCGATTGTCAGTCGAATGCTCTCTGCAACACCCATGTCGACACAACGCCTCTTGATCGACAGTCGGAACTCACAACATAAAAAGCTATTTCCCTATGAATTAAAATCTTTGTTACTATATGCTGTATGGTGTATTTTAGTAAAGTTTTACCGCCTACATTTTCAAATTTTCTTTTTTGTTTTGATCGACTTCCTGCTCTCGAATTAGGTCTCTGGGCCCCTCGAGATTTACCCTCGAGATTTATTTTCAATGGCTGCCCAGAAATAACAACACAAATCATAGTTTTATGTCTATTTATTGCTTTTCTGTCAAAGTCTGATACTTGAACATGGTTTACATGTAAGTTAAATATAAAACATACAAGTGAGGATGACTATTGTGCATCGCATTGCTAATTACAAGCCTAGAAAATCTAAAATTCAGACAGATTTCTTCAAATTTTTTTTCATTTTTCGAATATCATTGGACCAAACAATGTCGATATCGTTGTCTATCGAGAGCTCCGACATGTCGACATTAAAATCCTATTCGATGCCAGCTCTACTATTTTGTATTGTAACGATTCACGATTTCATCAAATTACACATTTGTGTGACACATTTACATACATGTAACATTTTCAGTGCTATGGGGTCGGACACAGGAGGATCTACAAGGAACCCAGCAGCCTACTGTGGCATTGTGGGCCTCAAACCAACATATGGTCTCGTCTCCCGACATGGCCTTATCCCCCTAGTGAACTCCCTCGATGTGCCAGGCATTATGACGCGTAGTGCAGAGGATGCTGCAGCTGTTTTAAGTGAGTCAGAATTGAATTTATTCAGCTCACTTCAGACGATAGAGATTTTTTGTTCATTTAAAGATGGCAGGGCGGTCTATCTGTTTATTTATCTTCTTAGAATGGCAATACAAACTAGTGATGCAGTTATTAATAATTGAGGTATCTTACCGACACAATGAAATATGACATAAGTATAATGCTTATTAGTAATAAGTAAAGCTATTTATATGATGGATACTAAATATATATGGGATAACGACAAAAGATAATTTTGGTATGTACCACGAAAATCATCAACTTTTAGGTAAAATTATTTTTTTTACCATAGGATAAATATGATATCCTATGATTTTATCGGGCTATAATTTTTATCCACTCTTGGATATCCCCGATCTCCTCTCATTCGCTGTGCTCACTCATGGAGATGGGCATTATCTACTCATGGATAAAAATGGTATCCATCAAAAATCATAGGATGTCCTCTTTGTATTTGATTGAATTGATGCAATTTTCTTCATTCATTTTTTAAGAAATAAATACACCAATAGACATCATTGACATTTGGCTAAATGTTCATAATCTTGTCCATTTTGCTCTAAGACTTGTCATGTAAAATGAACTACACTACTTCAATCATTTAATTTTTTCATCCATTTACATGTAACAAAAATAATATTGATATTTTTCAAAAAATAATACACATCTTTATCATGATCATCCACATCTGGCGGCCATACAAGCTCAATATAACATTGCAAATGATATAGGAAAACATAATTCATACCTTAATCTAGCTGTTGTTGCCAGAAAATGTAAAATTTATGAAATGAGATGTGCTTCGCCATATTTTCACAAATGAAGGGCAGGTCAGATTGCGAGATGCATGCGCAATAGTCATAAAGAAATGGAATGGGAATTTTACTTTCATATCTTTGTGTATATATTCAGCTTATAGTAAAACTTCCCACTATCTCCGGGGACGTATAACATATTTCTTTACTCCATTGCAGATGTTTTAGCTGGACATGATATACTTGACTCCACCACACTTCAAACCCCCCATAATCATATAGAACTAGATGCTGAACCAAATGTAGCGGATCTCCACATAGGCATTCCTAAGGTAAAAGTTCACTGTATGATTTACCATTCAGAATCATAATTAATTGGAAATCATCTCATAATTTATGAGAAATGTTCTCAATTGTTGGGAGATCAATTTTGAGGATCTGTAATAATCTTCAACTTAATATTCTATGGATCTTTGAAATAGTAGTAATCATCCTTAATATTATATGGATTTTTGAAATAGTAGTGATCATCCTTACAATTTTTATGGATCTTTGAAATAGTACAATGCCAAAGGTCTTTCAAGAGAAATGTATCTCAAAAATGCAACCTTTTGAGAAATGTACATCATGTACATGTATAAGACATATTATTTCCCGAATCTTTCAATATAGTATACATGTATATTCTAGAAACACCATTTGTCCAAAGTCTTTTAAGGTAAATGCATTAAGAAAAACAACCTTTAAAGAGAAATATCTTTCAAAAATATAATATCCCAATCTTTCAATATGATACAGGAATACCATGCCAAATGTCATACCCCAATCTTTCAATAAAACATAATTCCAGGAATATCATGCTCCTGGTCTTTCTGTAGAGATGCTAAAGGTAGCACAATGGGACAGAAATATTATGACCTCAATCTATCAATACAATATATTTAATATTCTAGGAATACCATGCTCCTGGTCTTTCTGCAGAGATGCTAAAAGTAGCACAATGGGACAGAAATATTATGACCTCAATCTGTCAATACAATATATTTAATATTCTAGGAATACCACGCTCTTGGTCTTTCTGCAGAGATGCTAAAAGTAGCACAATGGGACAGAAATATTATGACCTCAATCTATCAATACAATATATTTAATATTCTAGGAATACCATGCTCCTGGTCTTTCTGCAGAGATGCTAGCACAATGGGACAAAGTGATCGAGATGTTTGAAAAAGCTGGTGCCAAAATATCCTCTGTCTCCCTACCCCATAGCCAGTATTCCATAGTTTGCTATACTGTATTATGTGCGGCTGAGGTGGCATCGAATATGGCCAGATATGATGGTTTAGAATATGGTGAGTTATTGACCCACCAGAGTTTGTGAAGGATGTTAAGCCATCCATCTGTTTGTCTGTCTCCTCTGTCCGTTTGTCTATTTATTCATTAGTAATATTTTTTCATTGTTTCATTTGTTTGTCGATCTGGGTGATAACTCAAATATTGGACAACAGTTTTGCTTATGAAGGAGTTTCAATATTGCATGTCAATTCAAAATGGCCACCATGTTTTCATCCTTTTTTCAACTAAATATGAACATGGGCAGAAGTAGCATTTTTCCAAATTGTCTTCCATAAAATGTGCCTAAAGCTCTTTAATCATCACTTACCATACTAATAAGCTGTTTTTATGATATTTGTTTGTCTTTGTATTTCTCAGGAAAACGTGCTACTGAAGCGGAGAAGTCTACAGAGATGTTATACGCCACATCACGCCATCAAGGATTAAATGAAGTAGTCCGTGGACGAATATTGGCTGGGAACTACTTTCTTTTACGAAGGTTTGAACAAGGATTAATTGTGTTTTTTAATAAATTCTCGTAACTGAAAATGTCATGTCATGAATTAAAATGAAAACAAACTTGTTAGCAAGCTCTGGAAATATGACTCAATGTTCCAAATAATTGACTATTTGGTGAACCTTAATTAAAAATTACCAAGCAAAGGAGAGTGTTATGCAAATATCTTAAATGTGAAAAGGAATTTGGTGGATTGTGGTTGGTGTTTGGCAATCAGCATCTGTAACAAGTGGCAGGTGGTGACATTTCGTATATGAATGCCTTGTTTAATGAATTGTAGAAATTATGACCAATACTTTATGCAAGCCCAGAGAGTAAGACGACTGATAACAGAGGACTTTAACAATGTATACTCACAAGGAATTGACCTCCTTCTTACTCCAACAACACTGACAGATGCACCTTCATTTGGGTAAGAAAAGTGACATTATCGTTACAGTAAAAAGGTAAAATGTTCTTGTCAGATTGGTACACTTGTAGATCGCCTAAAATGACATTCGTCTCTCATCATATGAATGTAATTTTAGGCGATCTGTCTGCATGGCGTGTATTATGCACATATGCAGGCAAACAACTTGAGGGATTGAATCGAAATTTTCAGGAATGTTTTATTTTGTTAAAAATAGAACTGATTAAGTTTGTGCAGAGTCTGTGCCCAGTGCAACTTTGATGCAGTTGATTGATTGATAGATTGATGAAATTTATTGCAATCTTTGATGCAATTTTGATCTTATATGGCAAAATTCATGTATTCTATTTACACGTCCTATGATCGGAAAAAATGAACGGAGGAGAGAGTAGACAATTTCTGCTAGAAAATTCAACAAATCTGCAAGATTTATTTTTTCATGAGAAAGTTAATGAATAAATCGTAAAATAAATAGGTGAATGATATGAATAAATCTGTTAAGTATTTTATGATTTTTCCTAATTGTTCTCTTGTAAAATCTGCGAGGTATTTTTTTTGACTGGTACTATTTTTTTTATTTTATTCTTTATTTCTACCCACACTTGTGAGCATAAAATAGTACATATACATACAATGATAATACAGTAAAACCTGTCTAATCCGAACACCCATGGGACCAGCCAAAAGCGTTCAAATTGGCAGGTGTTCAAATTTCGAGGATATTGTTGGTCGGGGGGGGGGGGATTTTCATTGTTCAGTCCACTATATTGAACACTTAATACTACAATAGGCCTATAGCCTACATGTATATGCTATGTTTTATTTACATTTTGAACAATTTCATTATTTTTGGAAAAATAACTCTTTACTTTTGGCAAAAACTTTGTAATACACTGAATAAGTATATGATAGTCTTGTACGAAATCTTATGCTTATTAAATGACTTATCTCATATTATGGTTACATAGCACTGCTTTACTTTAGCTTGAAAAAGTTGTTCATTGTTGTTTGTTTCTTGGCACTTTTAGCATTAGCAATATTTGAGTAGATACCCTCTTCAATTAAAAAGAATTTTTTTTCAAAATATCAAGGGTATTCAGTATGTCAGATGTGCCTTTTTAGAAGGCATTTTAGTGATAGGATATTACGAAGTTGAATTTTTTCTCTTTCTCATGATATAATCTTGTCTGCAAATGTGTCTGTGTTGTCTTTGTGATTATAAAACATTTACTGATTGAATCCCAGCTATCATAACAGACCCATGGGATATAAAACAGTTAAGACTTGTTCATAATCCAAATCAAAAACATCCAGTTAATTTAAAATAAGGATAAACCAATTATCTCCCAGATTCTCACCTTTCTCTTAATCTAAATCAAAAACATCCAGGTAATTTCTAATAATGATAAAACAATTATAATCTTGTCTGCAAATGTGTCTGTGTTGTCTCTGTGATTATAAAACATTTACTGATTGAATCCTAGTTATCATAATAGACATATGGGATATAAAACAGTTAAGACTTGTTCATAATCCAAATCAAAAACATCCAGTTAATTTAAAATAAGGATAAACCAATAATCTTCTTGATTCACACCTTTTTCTTAATCCAGACATAAAACATTCAGTTCTTTTCTAATAAGATAAACCAATTAACTCCCGTATTCACACCTTTCCTGTTGTTTTCCACAATTAGGGATGTCATTGAGACTTAAATAAGTTAATTAGGACAATATTGGTTCTTTGATTACATTGCATATGTAAAGATAATAAGAACTATAACTTTGACTCAATATGTGGCTATTATTGAAATGTCCAGACATTTAATTTCTGATAAAATGTTCAGATTAGACAGGTCAGTTTTTCAAATCTGATTGTTCACTGTTCAGATTAGGAGGTGTTCAGATTTCAAGTTTTTTTTAACATGGGAGTCAATGGGAGGAAAAAATGGGACCGAAAAAAAGTGTTCAAATTGGAAGGTGTTCGGATTAGCCAGGTGTTCAGATATACAGGTTTTACTGTACAGTACAGTTTAGTTTAATTCACTACCACCAATAATCTTCATCAATTTACTTAATTGCACAGAATATTTAATATTTGACAACAAACTTTTAAATTTTAACATATTTGGTTGTCTAATGAAGTAGTTATCTAGAAGTATTTTTCTGTCATCTTCAAAAAGTTTACATTCTAAAATATAATGGTACTCATCTCCTAGTCTGCTACATTTGGTACACACTCTCTCTAACCTTGGTCTTTTTATGTATCTCCCTGTTTCTATAGGAAGATTATGATTTGAAGTTCTAAGTTTTGTTATATATAATCTAGTGCTTATTGGTTGACATAAATAGGGTTCAAAAATAAGTTTGTTCTTAATGTTACAATATGTAAAATATGAAGTTTTAGATTTATCTAAGTCTGATAGCCATTGCTGTAGGAATTGATTTTTTAGTTTCCTCTTCACCATATGTTTCAATACATCCCTTGATATAAACTCTTGTCTATTCCAAATATATGAAAATCCACAGTCATTTAAAATATTTTCTACTGTACTTAACCATGGTGAGCTGTATATACCCCTTATATGTAATTGAAGCATAGCTTTATAAATGGAACTACTTGTTGCTTTACTTTGTATCAATTTACCCCAAAAATTTACCATTCTTGTTTTAATGTGTATTTCCAAAGGGTAGCGCCCCAATTCACCATATATCATGAATGAGGGTGTAGTTGCTTTTACTCTGAGTATGTATTTACAAAATTTGAGGTGTAAGACTTCACAATTTTTTATAGCCTTCGAAAATCCCCATATTTCACAGCCATAACACAAAATAGGTAAGATTAACGTATCAAACAATTCTAATTGAACATCAATTGGTAAATTCATTTCTGTACACTTTCCTAATACTCCATACATGGCATTTTCAGCTTGTTTCTTCAATTGATCAACACCCTTTCTAAAATTACAATTATATGAAAATAAAACTCCTAAATACTTGAATGTGTCATTAATTTCAACATTTTCCCCATTGTATGTAAATCTAAATAAACCCTTGGGTTTTCTTTTTGAGAAAATAATAACTTTTGTCTTTTTTGTGTTAACAGACAAATTATTGATATCACAATATGACTTAAGACCATTTAGTCCTCTCTGTAGCCCATCACTTGTGTCTGACAGAATAAATACTCTTCTAAGGTGTGAGATGTATTAAAAAAGGACCACCAGCGTGCACACTCCAATGTTTTGGCTGTAAATCATGCAATGATTTAATTGTAATGCAAGCAAACATACAAATGTATGATTGATGTTAATGTATAATTGTAAGTTGATTTTAAAGGAAAATAAATGTTATTTAAAAAAAAATGGAAGCAAAACAGTAACACCCGTCTAATAAGAACTCCACTGGGGCCATCAAAAAGTGATCGTTCTTTGTAGATTCCAGTTTTGTACTATAGAAGTATATGGCACTTTAAAAAGTGTTCCCATCTAGAGGTGTTCGGAGAGAAAGTTGTTCAGATGTTCAGGTGTTCAAACAGGTTTTTTCTTTATTTATAGGGAATTTACGAGTGAGGATAACATGACGCAGAGTCAACAGCAAGATGTCTTCACACAACCAGTTAATTTAGCAGGTAATATATAAACCACATACTTGTGCAACTCTTTAACTTTTTTCATAGTTGAAACTCGAAACTTTTAGGCTTTTTCCAGGAGTAAAGTTAAAGCTGGTTAAAGTTACTAAATGCCCAGAATGTCTTTAGTTTTGTCTTGAAACGATAAACACCTATGTTCTTACAATATGAATTTCTTCATTAAGAATGGCTCAATATAGTCATAAATAAGCTCAAAATACTGAGATTCAATAACGTTTTCAATGAATAGAATTGTTTGATTCTGAGATCATAGGGGGGGGGGCAGTTTGAAGGTTAAATGGGCAACAAGGACTAGTCACAAGTTGAGAATAACTTTCTTAAAGTTGCTACATTTTATCTTGCTAACATGTTAGAAATACTAGAGTAGAGACTAGTATAGAGTGTACTATAATGGTACCCCTTCCCTTCTGAAGCTCAAACAACCATCCGAAGCCATAAATTATAATTTATATTTTTCCTTTTTGCTTCTTAAAAAGTACCTACAATGCATATATGGGTGATATTGTGCGTATGTTTTCTGTAGTTTTAACATAAAAACTTGATGATAGAAATGTTACTTTAAAGGGTCATATAACAGTATAATATGATAAATGTGAAAATGTGATAATAGTGAGGTTAAGATAACTTGTATTTGAATGTGTGGTATTATTAACACCAGAGGTTACTGTCCTCGTCTAAATTGTCTTCCTCAGGGACCTTATTACAACTATTGATTCCAGGTCTACCAGCAGTGACTGTCCCAGTTGGACTTTCCCCAAGAGGGCTTCCACTAGGTCTACAGTTCATCGGAAAATTGAAGGCAGAAAGGACAATACTTAACGCTGCTAAATGGCTTGAAGCACAAGTGGACTTTCCTTATTTCAAGTGGGAAAAGAAAAGTTGACAAGTCCTTAGTTACTAACTCTTTTGTATGAAATCTGATATTGTTTTGGCATTTTCCTATGTACGATCATTTGATAAAAAGTGATAGTGAAATTGTAATTTATAATATATGAATAACGAATAATAAACTCCGATTATCGGAGGCACTTCGTGCTCTATTTCTTCGAAACATAGGTACGTTTTTGAAAACGTATGCTTCACATTCGGTGAACAACCCCCAGGGTATGTTAAGCTAAAAGAATTTCTGTTAAGCCGTTGAACACTGAGTAAAGAAATAGTCAACAGAAATATGATTTCCCGATTCTATTTTTCGAGCTACACTGTATCTTCAAAGTTAACGTTGGCATTCAAAAGCTTGATACATTTAGAATGTACAATACAAATTAACATTGAAACTCTTGCTTGTTATTCTTGCAATCTACTTACAAAATTGAACTCGCCGCCGGAAACTCAGTCATTTTCAGCAATATGGCAACGCGTCCACAGTATAGATTTGATTGTATGGCAACGCGGCCCAGGCACCAACTTTCTCTATATTGTAAATTAAAAGCACAAAGTAGTTAATGCCTTATGTTTTTATCGAGGATTTTGATTTAAACAGGCAAAAAGAAGATCAAGCAAGGGCAATATGTCCATGTACCGAACGAAACGAAGAAGAATAGGCAGCACGTCTTCTCAATTAAATTTAAGTATAAATGACGAGGGAAATAAACGGAAAACTGACAGGAAATTCATCTCACCAGCTAGGGGGTACAGACCAACAACCCCATTTCCCGAAGTCCGCTGGGCAACAAAGAAAGTATCGCACATGATAGAACACCATCTTCATTGCTGTGACCACATTTCCAGTTTTGTCAAATATGTATGATGTCGGGACCCGTGTTGCTGTAGTGACTGGACTGCGTTTCCAAAATATGCCTGGTTTTGACCGAGAATCGTTTTACAGAAGGCAAACAGTGATCACACTCTGAAGAAATATAGATTGCCGTGGTGTATACGTGATTTTATAGATATGCATCGAATGACAAAGTCAAAAACACAGAATTTAAGTAAGAAACTGCCTTAATTGTCAAATTTCAGCAAGTGACTGACTTTGTACAAACAGATTATAATTCCCAGTTGACTAAATTTCAAGAAGCTGCACATAGACATACTCGGTAAAGTTCTCCAGCGAATGGTATATGCTATAAAACTGTAGCAGACAGAGACTGGTGTATGTAGCTTATAGATAAACTTACCGCCATTTAGAACTTCTCCAAAGTCGCCATTGTGTATCTTAACCGCGTTGCAGCCTCTTTTTGGATAGATATGCTTGGCTGAACCGCGTTACCTCTGTCCATGGTGAGTATAAGGGCCCAAGGTCAAACAGTCTAGGAGGAAATACCAGGCAGGGAGGCAGGTCTTATTATATGTACGAGGCATTGTCGCATATACCCGTGCTTCAAAAAGGAAAATTGTGTAAGACGGAACGACCCCACCAGCATGTGATGTACAAAATGTCGTCTGCTATGAAAATGAGACGGCCAAGAGGTATAAGGCCAGGGTAAGAAAAATAATAGTTTAGCAATTCTGCCCGCATCACTTATAATCCTCCCGCATTAGTCTTATTTTTTGATAACTTGAACAAAACGTTTTTGTAATGACAGGTTTTTAAATTGTATATTCAGAAATATATCATTTCTTATGTATTATACGTATGTTTTCGAATGGTTAAAAAACGATATATATTTACCCTCGCTAAAATATTCGTTGCATCTGACTAGAAAATGGCGGTTGAAAATAACAATTACGTGATAATTAGCCCTCACTCCCCTAAACATTGTATAATAATAATATGATTTTATTAGTACTGATGCCCTTTTAGGGCCAAACGTAGATCCGAGTATACAATTTTCAATAACAGTAAATACAGCAATAAAGTAAAGAAAATAGGATTACATTCTTCAAATGACATATTATAAAATGTTACTTTGATATAAGAATCCTGTCTCTACCAATCATTAGATATTTTATTATGTCAGCAGATTCTTTTAGTATGATCCCCTCATTCGTCAATAGAAAAATTATCTTTTGGTGGTCATTAATGTTTTGAAAATTACTACACTGGTTTTCAAGTTTTTCAATATGGGATTTTCTGATATACTCCAATTGTTTACAAGCATTGTATATGCTGTCAGATGGTATGTTGCAATGTTATTAAACTTGAAAACTGTTGAGAGATGGTAAATGTCGACCTTTATGATAATAATCAATAACAGAAATTATTACCCATAATAAAATTTAAAATTAAAAACATTAACGGATGCTATCATGAATTTTATACAATATTCGTTGATATAATCATAATTGAATAGCTAACATGTGCGAATATATGTGTTTTAAGGGTATTTTATGAACTCGAGCACCTGATAATATCCGACAACTTGAAAATTCTAGTTTGCATTTCAATGTCAATTTAAAACTACAATACAAATTTTATATTGCCAGACACACAAAGCATACAGTAGTTATTAGATCTATATCATTTTATTAAACCAAGGATGAACGTAATACCCGGAACGTTCGCAAATTGGCGTTCGGTATTTTTACCGCATCCGATTTGAATTAGGGACAATTCAACAGACAAATGCTCTAATGTAATTCAATGGGAAAATATTGGAATCTCTGGAATAAACGAGGATTTTCGGTACATAACCCCATACACCACGGGATAGCTCCATATGTCCCCTTTCAAACCAATACGACCGCCTTTTCCGCCATCCGAATTTTTAACAATTTCCAATAGATTTCAAACTCAAGACCACCGTCACAAAAAGTCAAATATTTGAAGTGAACCGAATCATTTCGTCATATTTTTGTAAAATTATATCCACACAAGATAAACAAAATAAAATTCAAAATCTGTACATTTTCACGAGTGATTGCACAGATAAATCTTGATTTAATCAATTTAATAATTTAATTTAGATTTTTTGTCATCCCGATTTTAAATTTAGATTTTTTGTCTTCTACCTTTTTCACTGGCGCCCTCTGTGGAGTTATCCACAGTTAGGCCTACATCTCGGAAGGCCTAAATTCCAACACCAGACTATTTGCCGATGATTGTCTCATGTACAGAGAGACAAACAAAGCTACGGACAGCCAAAGCCTGCAACAAGACCTCCACAGACTTAAAACCTGGAAAGCCAAGTGGCAAATGCGATTCAATTAAGTGTCATGTCCTCCGCATTAGTCGCAAACGCAAGAACATCATCACTGACTACACCCTCTGTAACACCATCCTCTCTGAAGTACCCTCCCACCCATACCTAGGCTTGACTATCTGCAATGACCTCAGGTGGAATGAACAAACTGGGAAAGCAGTCTCTAAAGCCACCAGAGCACTTGGAGTTGTGCGTTGCAACCTCCAAGGGTGCCCCACATCCCTCAAAGAAAAGGCCTAGACAAGTCCATTGTTAAGGCCCCACCTTGAGTATTGTGCCTCAATCTGGGATCCCCATACCCAAAGGAACACTAATGCCATAGAGCAAATCCAACGTACATGTAGTGCTCTACGTATAGTCGACAACAACTATGCCAAAGAACCAGGCACGATCACCAAATTACACTCCCCTCCATAAGTTTGGCAACCAAAGCTCCCCCATTGAAGTACGTGTTAAAGCCTTTTACGTTTGAATTTTTATTTACTTAAGCTGCGATGAAAATACTTATATTATTGATGGAAACGTAATTTGACTTCATTTCCAATACCTCCAAAGAACAGGTCCATTTAACAGACTATTGGTCTACTTAAACTTTTTCAAAAAAAAACTCATTCTTCCATTTACTTTTAAAACCGATTGCAAGTTGTAGATAAATCTTTTTTCTTGAGTAGTGCAATTTCAAAAAGTGGCATAAGTTTTCAGTTTCTTTGAAAAATTCGCAGTAAGAACCCCTATCACAAGGCTGTCTGAATATGGGTACACACTATGTTTACCATCAAAATAATATCAAAACTTATCATTACATAGAATTTATCATATGGAACACACCCCATGGGTGGGCCCAGAAAAAAAATTGGGCCCATAAAATTTTTAGGCCAAAACAGGCCTTAAGGCCCCAAAAAGTGGGCCTTTTTGGTCATAACTGGGCCTTTTAAGGCCTTATTTTTAATTTCAGGCCAAATTTTGAAGATAATGGGCCTCAAAATTTCAAAATTTGGGCCCACTTTTGGGTTTTAGGGACCAAAAAACGATTTTTCTTCTGACCTGAAATTTGGGCCCCCCCCCCCTTGTTGGTTCCCAGATCCGCCCCTGGAACATATGGCATACAAGCATTCGGAGTAGAACCTTAACAAAATCTAGCTATGTATGAAGTTTACCAATGCAAATCTGGAAAACATTGTCATTTTTTGTTCACTTTGTTATCAAGTTTTAGCATGGTGCTCATTTCCTTTCGTTGAAAATTTAACCATCAGCCCACACTCCCACAAAAAAGATATCGAAACTGTATAATACAGAGACTGTAAAGTAGCTTCTCTGCAAATATCATTGTTGTGAGAGCGTGGGCTCACCACTAAAACTTAACTTTTGTGATGAAAATAAGGCTGACTGGTTTATTTTTCAATTTGGCTGCTAACCTGGCATACTACATAACTGCATGTACAGAAAAGGCCATTCAAAATTAATTATATGTTGGCATTCTGATGAAGGGCCTTATATCAAAAACTACAAAACCCTTATTTATTTAAAGGGTTTTATATATTATTTTAATAGTGAAAATGCAATAACACATTGTGGCAAAGCAAGTAACACCTCTTGATTCAGATGACCTTGCTAATGAAAACAATACTAAAGCTTATATACGAGTACATGTCGTATTTAATCAATCTTGGAACTCATTTCTACAATATCACAATTCCCTCTGTCATTTATATGCATTACAAGTGTTTTTCTAAAGAGGGAATAAGTAGAAATTATTTTAGACAATCCTTTGAGTGTCATACCATTTATTCATGATACTGCCTTATGTTTTATGATATATATTGAAATTCAAATATGGGAACTGCAAATTGGCAATTAACTTTAAAACTAAGTCTCCACGCACACATTTCAAATTCCAA